GTACTGGTGAGTGACCCTCCCATTTTTTCCCCTAGTGATCAACCATTGAAAAATGTTTGTGTTCCACAACTGGTTGGCAAAAATCTCCTCATGATTTTTGATTGCTAGCATATTGGTTGCTAGCATATCGGTGTTGTCACTCCAATGTTTGCATGAAAGTGACTTATCTTTAAACACTACCCAGCTACTCTCCAAGCCATAGGTCAAACTGTGAAAAATGTGACACAACCTGGAGATTGAAACAACTTGACATCAAAGAAGAATCTGTACCTGTCTGTATCGGTAAGGCAAAACTTTATTTTGAGGAACCATTTCCCTTTTCCTAACCTTTGGCTCTGCTCAATTATTACCATCAGTTATTGTCATTAACAGGCTAACACATGGAGACGTAACTATTTCCCTTCACACCAACAGCCACTTTGAATCACTAGTTAACCTGATAACTTGGACTGATTCAGACCTAAAACCTTTTTGCTGTGCTGCTCAGCAGTTCGCTATATTGGCGAACTCATATAACTTATGTATATATGTATATTACAACCTGTCCTAGTTTAGTCCATGGTAACACTGTTTTACTCTCGCCTACCACTCTTAAAAGTGCTAGCTGCATCCACCCCCCGCCCCTTGCAAACCCAGAAGGATACATCTGGAGGTACTTAGGGTTCAGTATGTTGCCCAAAGGCACTTTAACATACAGAGCTGAAGATTGAACCATCCAAACTTCTGAATAGTAGGCAACACCCTCTATATGTCACAAACCACACTAAACAAGCTTTTTGGGAGCCATGGGTGAGAATTGGAAAACCAGTGCAGCGTGTAAGGGCTCCAGAAGTGTGATTGAAACAAATAGTGTGCAAATACTAACGTTGACTTTTGCATATTTGAACATGAATATAATGACACTAATATAATTCAAAAAGGCAAGTCCAGTTCACTTTGCCTGAACAACAAACGATAGTTCAGTGCTTTTGTTGACAGCCATATTGAAAATTGCCACCATTGTGAGTTTTCAAACGGCTAATAGGGATTATGTGCCAATCAGGGAACTTGTATCCATCTGTGAACAATTTCCCTGTAATGTGAAGTTATCTGCTGCACTGCTGTAGTATGCACAGGTAAGTGGCTTCTTAAATTTGAAAAAGTAAAACGTCAGTTGTTAGAAGAGTTCATCCTGCAGTCTTGTGGTATTTCTATCCTCTGACAGAAGACAGATGAGACTTTAACAGGCACGATAACCTACAAATCATCAGCATTTTAAAACAGCAAAGATGACACCTTGTAATATCATTTCTTACAAGACTTCTCATTTGTTTTCTTTTGTCTCTTCAACCTCTGAGAAATATGAATTGGAGTTTTTTTTCACAGTAAAATGTTACTGTGCTTTGCAGTGAATAATTGTGTAAGGGAGGAGGCACATTTCCCCTTTAAAACACTCTCTTCAAAGCAGTGATACTGCTGTCCTGGCCTTCTTCAGCTGTTATCATTTCTTAACATCTCCCCACTTTTATATGTTTTTTTTTTTTTTTCAATCAGGCCAAAAATGGTGATCTCTAAGGAACATAACCATATGAGCAGAGAATCTGACCATCTGGCTTGTTCTGCAGCTAAAAATCGCGGGGGACGAGAAGAAACTGACGAATGTCTCTCGGCTTCTGCCGCCTGTCAGTGTCAAGATGTCTCTTTTAAAAATAAAACATGTTGTCAGAAGCTGTACATTGCCAATAGTGTGATTGCAAGGAAATGTAAGGCCCTCTTGAAAGAGAAGTTTCTTTTTGAAGGAAAGAAAGGAGAGACACCACAAGGGGACAAAAACTAATTTCAAGTTTGTGGTGTTGGACTGATTCCAGACGTAGAGATAGCCACGCTGGGTGGGATAGTTATGGGAAGGGCATGATATAAAATCTGTGTGGAGTATAATGACTGGCTTATCTCTGAAGCTCACAGTGCATGAATTCCTTACCCCATCGGGTCTCCTGTCAATTCTTTATTGTGGGAAGTAGTTTTCCATTTCTGTTCTATCAAAAGACTATGAGAAGAGAATATGTAAGTAAGGATATGGGCTACAACTCCCGCATTAGTTATTTCATTTCCAATGACTTAGCAACAAGCCTTTGCTCCGCTTTAATTTCCCAGGCATGCAATGACCGATGTCACCGACGCTGTTATTGCTCCATAATACATAAATCCCACTAATTAGAGGTCAATGACTCATGCTTGATGCAAAAAGGCTGCATGGGATGTCCCCACAAATATTTAACCACGCATGTGTGTCTTTTTTGCTATCTTCCCTATCAGTTCTTTTGTGCATCACATAAAACATGAAAATGATCCGCTTGGCAGTCATGCATCGACTAGACATGGTTCAGGAGAGCGGTGGCCGCGGCAGCACTTTGACAGCCGGGTTATGGTTTCTCGGTCCCAGTAATGAAGGACTACTGAGTGTGTCATCCAGGAAAAGGGCCTCTCCCCTGTCTGTCTGTCAGCGCGCCAGCTGGATTCAATCCTACACCTCAGAATAACACCAGGCTTTAAATGCTGCAGCTTGGCCACCCTTTGCTTTAATAGACAGACAGAGCTCATTACATGAAAACAGTGGCTAACCCTCTCCATAACAGAACTGGTAAACTTACATTAGTCAAAGCACAGCTAAATCATTTAGTCGATTTCGTTTTTTTTCTGCCCCCCCTTTTATCTCCTTTTCCAGCTTACGCATCATTCTGCTCATTTCTGCACAGCTAGCAAACCACAGGCGTTGAAATAGGAGAAAGAGAGGAGCTCTACTCAAAGCGATACTAGAGTGGCTCGTTTTCCTACGGTTAGAGAGCTGTGTCTACCCTGCAAACTGTCCATAATATACAGAACAAGAGTGGGGATTAACTAAAATGTCAAGAGAGACAGGTTAAGCTGACAGAATATTGGTTTATTTCGAGGGGTCTCACTTTCAAAGTCAAAAAGTCAGAAACTTCTCAAAGCAAAATCTTGAGTCGTTTTCAGTCGCCTCATATTGCTAAGCAGAAAAAATTCAATTTCCACAGACTTTCATTTGACTTTCAGGCACAGGAATGGTCATAGCAGCTTAAAACTCCCACCGGTGGAGTGTAAGGCTCAAGAAAATGATGTTTGCACAATAAACAAATAGAAGAACATACATTTGAAATTAGCCAAAACACCAAAACACTGTGCGTAAATTCTCTGGGAACATAGCTTTTATATTAATGTCCCTGTTATGCAGTTAATTTTGAAAAACTCAGCTGGTATTCGTGTATCCGCCAAACTGAAAAGAATGAAAGCTAGGACTGTGCAAAGTCTTGAGGAGTGTTTTAATATACAACTGTGAGAGTATCTCAGTATCGAGATTTGCCTGAAGTGAAATTCAAAACGCCTCATCTGGTCTGATTTCCCTGCGCTATAAGAGCAGACTGGGCTTCATTAGCAGTGGCTGCTGTGCTTTATTGGCACAGAAGATCCCATTTTCACTACAGAAATTACTTGCCAACAGCTGCAAATTGACAGGGCGCCATATTTCCTTGCAAGTCAACTCTTATTAACAGCAATTCCTGGGATCTCCACGTCCCAGCGTCCAAACACAGCAGTGTCATCAGCAGGTATATTTGAACAGTAGGATCTGAGGACCTTACAGGCGTTGTTTACTGCACTGAAAATGACTAAATATAGGAGAGAGGCTTAGCCAGCTGCTTACACACCGTCAGTGAAGCCATTCAGAGCCAATCTGCTGACATCTGAAGGACACACTCACAACAAATCACACATCACATTCAAATGGAAGTTTTGAAACTCTCAACAATGATGGTGTTGCTCTCCATTAGCGAGCTAATTCCCCAGCACAAAGGCCTTGTATGGTATCGATGATTACTCTTCTCCAGAATATCAGGCTGCTCTGACTGATGGTGGCTGCAGCAAAGGTTAATTAATGAGCAGTGGCAGGAGCGATGGCTGCCGGCAAGGGAGAAGGTCTCCTGGGATTTGGATGCAGCGAAAGATAAAGGCGGAAAAGGAGAAGGTATGACTACTCAGCTGAAACTGAGTCTCCTTTTCTATCTGGATAACCTCCATGCACCTAATAGTGTGAGAAAGCTGCTTGATCACTTAACCAAAATCGGTGCATGTAATTAGATAATAATGCAGCTTTTCATCATTTTCTCTATAAAACCTTATTTCATGCAATGATTATGTATTGGTTATCAGACATCAAATATAATCTAGGAGGCAACCTCCTAGCTTAAATTAGTTCTGCAAATCATCTGCTTCTTGTGATCAGACATCAAAAGATTTTCATAAAGCGTATTTGTCTTTCCGAGCAGCAGGCGTTTGCAGTGTTATTTTCAGATGAGAAATGAATTCTATGGAAGAACACTCTGACATATCACTTTATTTTTATCCTGTCTGTAAGATTCCATTAAATTTAATTGGTGGAGATTATCTATACAGACTTACATTTGATGTGCGAGCTATACGAGGCAGAAGCAGGGTTCCTTAATGTTCTGTGCCATTGTGTTAAAAGTCCAAAGATAATCTGTGATGATAATCTGCATTCCCTCTACAGATATAAAAAAGCTTTACAATAACACACCAGAATAGAGACAGAGATTCAATAATACAGAATCTTTTTGAAGCTTTCTCAAGACAAAATCTAATAAAGTTCCAGTGTCCATTAGGCTCATCAGGTTCATCCACATCTGGAAGAATTAGGGCAGCCTGTTTCACAGAAAGCAGTTATCCAATCTGAAATTGTTCCAGCATGCTTTTTACGACGTATAAAGAATACACGACTAGCTTCCAGTGATACCCAACCAAAACTGCTTAACAAAAAAGATAGTACAACATCAAGCACAGCAGCATACCCCCCTCTCTGCATCCAACAACCTGGATTTGGATGTTGGGTGCAGGCCTCATGTTTTAACATCATCTCCAATATTCTGCATCCAAAGCACTTTTATATTTTTGTGCTATTTTTGCATGCAGCAATCCATTATCTTGTGTTCATCTCTTTAAGCAACTCAAGTCCACATTGTAATTTAGTCTGGAACATGCTGTCAGTTAGGAGATCACAGCAACCCACACATTGCTGAAACGGCACTCCACAGCTCTGATTAGTTTATCTTCCTCTTGTTTCACATGTCTATGCCCTTAAAAAGTTCAGGCGTCATAACAGATTTCCATTAGATGAAAACATAAATCCTGCACTATATAATACTGTATGTCTTGAATCTCATTTCATGTGACTGTGGTCTATGTTCTACTGCTGCCAATCACTGTTTTTGTGGGTTTCGTCCATAATTTGCATAATAATAAAAATTTTCCACTAAAAGCCTAACAGGGGCATTTTTATTCTTTTAAACCATTATTTTAGGTAGATTGTCCAATCTTAGAATGACTTGCTATGAATATCTGGAAACCATTTTCCTCCTTCATCGCATGAGTTTATTAGTTGTTGTTATTGATCTTGGGGATTTTGTCTCTTCACACGAAGGCTGTGACTATTTTTTTTTTTATTTTATTTCCATAAACCAGCTTGGAGGGAAAGTGTTATAGATGCTTTTTGTCTTTTTGTTGTTGCTTTCTTAAATCCACCTTTGGTATAATAACTTCTAGATTTGTCCCACAAGAATAAAAGCAAGCTTCTCTCCTCGCTCCCTCATACTCCTGGTGGATTCGACTCATTCGGGTTTTCAATGAGGTTTGAATATTTACTGGGTATTTCATCTTTATCAGTCTAAACCTTGAGGGTCCTTGAACCACATGCCTTTACAATACTCACTCAAAAGGACATTATTAGTATGAGGGAACCAAGAATTGAAAGCCTTTTGCCAGTGACATTAGGAGGTTCCTATTCCATCCTGTCAGCAAAGTAGTGAACCTGATATATTTGGATCACTTTCTGGTTAGAAGTAAGTAAGAGTGTGGCCACATTTGAGTACTGGCCCTTTTAATTGAAAGATGATTTTCTAATAGTCATCAATTCTGCAGTTGCTCTCAGTTCAGTTCCAATTGATTACATTAAGTAGTTACTAACTGTACATATTAATAAATATTAAGACTTGTTTTCTGGATTAATGCACAAGTTAATAAAAATAAACACAAAAATTGAGCAGTATACAGGCTCTGTAAAAATACTATTATTCCAAGGAAAGAAAGGTAAGCGGTTCCCTACATACAGGTTAGGCTCCATGTGATTACAGCTAAGGGGTTGTAAGATGAAACATGAGCAAACGGAGGAAAAACATAGTTTATGCTGCAAAGGTTTATAATCATTTCTATAAATTTGGGTTTAATCATTGTTTTTGTCAGAGAGGTAGAGTTTAGTTTTGCATCATTCTCTTGTCTTCTCTTTAAATGACACCAGTAATTGTCTGGTTAAGAAAAGAAATGACGTTATTAGTTATGTCCCAGCTCTCTGTGAAGCCTGAATAATTATCAAGCACGTATGCATACACGGGGAAGATTACTCCTGCATTCAGAACGAATGGAACTACTTTACGAGCAGAGACTGCAGGTCCAGACTTGTAGAAACCTTCCAAAGCATTTGCCGGAGGTTTTTCTGTGAATAATGTGCCTCTGCGTGGAAGGATTAGGCACAGAGGACCCTGCCAAGCATTAGAGTGTTACAGGAGGGATCAAGAACAAATGAGTAATGAAATGACTGACTCACCATTCTGAGACATAAGACACAGCATGTGCTCTTTCGAAGCCTGCTCCTGTTAAGGGAGTTTCAGTCAAAGCATGGCATTAGAACTTCCTGACATGTTTTTAATTGTTGGTTCCTCCTCGTCATGCACATCACCCATATAAGCAATTAGGCTTCTGTCATCCGTGTCTAATAAAATGGAGATCGTGCTAGTGCAAAAATGTGGCAGCACAAGCGTCTGCGTAAACAGACACTTTACTAGCAGGTTAGCCGTAATCATACGGAAAGAGAGCACGTACAAATTAAAATTTATGTTCTGTCTTTTGTAGCGAAGGATAATAGCTAGTTTAACATGAGTATAAAAGCAGCTAATGAGGACAAACGCCTTATAATCACATGGCCTATGCCATTGTGGAAAATAATACACTACACCTAAACAAAGACTGGTTGTCAATATATTTATGAATTTATTCTTTTTCGTTACATTAATGTCTCCTTCTGCTCCAGATGCCGGAAAAAGAAAACTGTCAAAAAAGAACTGATTGTAATTCAAGGCCACAGAAGCAAGGAACCATATCCCCACAAGCAAATACAAAACAGAGTTGGTAACAGGATTGCAACACCAAAGTGAAAGCATGTCTGCCAAGTCTACACATTCAAAGACCACGAACATCAAACGGGTTTTCCAGCCAGTCAAGGGTTTCAGTGTTCATAGAGAAAAAAAACAAACAGGACTGCTTCTAGCCAAGGAAAGATGGATATTTCCAAATGAACACTGAGTATTCTGTGTACAGATGCGATGGCGAGCTTAGAAACGAGTGCACCATCTGCATGTTACATGTGATCCATTTACAGTACAGAAATGTCTAAGCAAGACAGCATCAAAGGTTACTGAGTAGCATTTTTTTTTTTTTACCCAGGCCAAGGAGCATAACATCACAGAGTAGAAATGGTCTCTGATTTTTTTTTTTTTTTTAACCTATACTTCATATTCATCTGTGTTCAGTGCAAGACTCACTGGACTCTTTAAAGACAAAAACCTAAAATATGATTGGCTATCTGAGTGACTGCAACTGGAAATAGAAACACGTGTTGTTTGCTTTTCCTTCAGGCCTTTATAGTGAATATATCACAGCAATAAAACACAGTAAGCCTCTGCAACGACATCTTGCAGATTAATATAACTAGCTGAGGGGGTGCTTTGGAAATTGCTTTGACTAGAAATGTGTCAAGGCTGACAGTTTCTTTTTTTTTTACCAGTTTGATCCCTATTAAGCACATCCCTCAGATCTAATTCAATAAATGCTAAAGGGAGTTACAATAATGGTATTCATTCCTGATCCTTTGGGATATATATCTTTAGAACTCATAAATACTTTACTTTCTTTCTTCTACACATATTTTATATATCTTCAGAGATTTTATGCTTCCATAATAATTAAGCAGATACAGTAAAGTTAGCCCTGGAAAATGCACTGAATCCCACATACAATCAGATTTTGTGAAAGTGCTAAACTGCTGTGACATCTTTGAGTTTCTAACTAAAATCCCCCGTACAACAAAAATACAATCTATCACTTGAGTAAGAAAAAAAAAACGTCATCTTCTTGTTCTCCATTTTCAGCCCCTTACAATGCAGCATTTTTTATACAGTTTTAAAGGGAAACAGCACTCAACAGTTCAGACAGGAAAATGACAACCCAAATTAGCTGTCTCCTACAACTTCAAAACCTATTAATGAGCTTCATAACATATCTGTTCCAAACCAATAAATGTACTACCACTTCCCAAAAAAAGAAAAAAAATCAAGTAACCAGAGCTTTGAATTTTGCACAAAGCATTTTTTCTCACACCACGGTTGTTGGGTAGTAACATAAAATTCATGTTGAAATTCAGTGATATTCATCAGTATGTAAGACAAGACAGGTCTAAAGTTTCAGTCGATAAAAGGAGCGCTACAAGTAACTGTAGAGGGCTGCTTAGAGGGAGAAGAACAATAAAATGAGCTCCCTTCCACCTGTTCCAATGCAACGTATTCCTCCCTCACAAACATCTGTCGCTGTAGTCGATACAATACTGTACACACACCCAAACAAATACAACTGAGGGAGAAAGCTTGAAGACAGACGGAGAGACAGCACAGTTTGTCTTCAACTTTTAACATTGTTTTCTTGCTTTTTTAGAAATTTCAGCTCAGTGCAAAAAGAAAAAGAAAAAAGAACACATTACAGAACTGGCTGTGACTGGCAGCTACAGTAAACAAAGACAGCTCAATATCAGCTGACCAGCAGCGGTTAACTGGCAAACCTAGTGTAACCCAGCCTCTTCATCACACTTCCACACACATCCTCTATCAGTCGAAGGTCCTTTCGAGACATTTTCTGTCTCCATATGTTAATGTTGGCTGGTGAGATGTCTCCTTCATACATTAGATTGTACAGATTCGTAGAGGTGGTGAATATGAGTTGATTGAGGGCTGTGGGTGACACAGGCACCCCCAGAAATGTGTGTATTGTCTCTGCCGTCTCCTGGGGGAAGTTGACCACATCCTCAAACCTCACTCGGAGAAAGGACTCCTCGGGAAGGCTCTCGCTGACCCTCAGAGCGGCTGCGGTGTGTGCCAGCCACAAATGAGCCAGAATCAAAACAGGATTAGTCTCATAACGGGACAGTAGCCTCTGGATCATTTTAAACTCTGGCGCAACAGCTGAGCACCCATCCCTGACAGCATCCTCCTTGAATATCAAGGAAAGGTGCTGTGGGATGTTTTTAAGGGAGTATAGGCTGGGTTTGCTGTTATAAACCATGAGATAAATCCATGCTCTCGGGTCTCTCACCAAGTATATTGTCCTCAAGGAAAGTCCCACTACCTCCTGAATGAAAGGTAGTTTGAGTGTCCAGCTTCCACTCTGCATGTTGATTACCACCCGGGCGTTAGGGTACTCTGCAACATGCCTTCTCATTTCCCTTACATACTCTGCATCTCTGTCCAGACTAGCCCTCAGTTTGCCCTTCAGGTCAGATGCTGGTTCTCTCTTCCTGGATCTTTTCTTTCTGTCCCTGGGGACGCTGGCTCTCTGGGTCTGCTTGACCCTGCTGCCCTCTACGAGCTGAATATTTTGCAAGTGCAGCTTTGTGTTATGCACTAGCGAATGCAGCCAGCCCTGGATAATCTTAAACCGTGCGTTCACGGCGTCTGACCTTGACCATTCACAGGCATCGACCAGGGTGTCAAACTCAAACTCGGTCTCAGGAATGTCCACATGCTCGGTGGGGACCCTTATATAAACAAAGTCTGAGCTATTGTAAAAAAGGTGCTTGAGTATTTCCGATCCCGATCCGGGAAGGGTCGTTATGACAACAGTGGGAAGGGGGAGCCGGTGCTGCTCGTACAATCTTATTTGTTTGTTTACTTCGCTTTTGGCACCCGCACCTTTCCATTTTACCCCACAGAGAAGCTGATCGCAGCTGTTAGAGACAAACAGCAGCTCGGCTATCCACAGAAGGAGCACGGTGAGGAGTGCGTAACGCATCAGCCTGCTGAAGCAAACATAAAACTTTCTCTGCATGGTCAAAAATCCTATCGCCACACAGAGAACGACCCCCGCTATTACATTGACTGTGAAACCAAAGTCAAACAGCTGATTATCACTGCTGATTTGTTTAGGGAGGATTTGTGTCCCAAGGCCGTATCGGGTGATTTGATATCTATCCTCAACTTTACTGTGACCTCCAAATCCCAAATAACTCAACCTTGCCCCGATGTCTTTATAGTTTGTAGCAATGGACACAATCTTCTCTGTGTTATTAATGATTAAAGAAAGCCTCACTCCATTTTTGCTGTTATCTATAAATCTACAGTTGGACACTTTGACATACGGTCCGTGCAGCACGTAAGCCACTCTGCTGACCGGGCCTGTCATTTGGAAAGTAACGTTTATATACTGCGTCCACCTCTTTTTAAACTCAGCCGCCTGCTCTGCTTCCTGTAGCCGTGTTTCAGGGCTGTGGCCCTGAGTGTCAAACCAGAACATTTTATAATGAGCATCCCACACATCCATCATCGCGCCGTTATATCTGTCCATGAATCTGAAAGGAACATATTTAAAGTCAATGTCGAGATTGTGGAAAAAAGCACTGAGTGACTTTATAGGTGAATCACCCCATTTTTCTACATGGTCAAGGACTAGCAAAGTCTGCGAGTTGAGCAGAACCAAAGCTCTGAAGACACTCTTTAGTCTCATGGCAGGTGAATAAGCCAGCGCGGCTTCCCCACTCACAAACATCGTATCCTTGTGTGACGAAGCGGCAATCACCTCACCTCTAGCGTCACCCACCCCTTCATCGGTCCAGCGCAGCCACTTAGCGCACTCCCCCAACTGACCCTCCCATGGATTGTTACACTGGCTGGTAGGAGATGGACCGAACACTAAAACATTGTTAAGGTAGCTGTACTTTGGACCATAAAGTGCTTCAGACACAAATACTTGCCCATTAGGAGCAAAAGTAAAAGAGTTCTGGTCTGGGTGCTCATGACCAGGGTTAAAGCTGTTCCAGCCATCCACCCAGGAGTAAGGCTTGTCATGGACAATGTCATAGACTGCACGGCCACCCAGGCTGCCAGACTTAAAGGAGACAAAAGTATTACTCTGGCCATTGGGAAGCCCAGCTCCGTATGTAACCACACCCCAGTTTGAGAAAATATGCATTTTAGCTTTGCCAAAATCATGGGGAGGCTGCGGCGGGAGGTGGGAGTTGTACCAGATGTATTCTGTGTGAAGTGTAGCCCAGCGCTGGGCAGATGACTGCCCCATGGGGCCGTCCTTCGGCCGATGCTTTCTAATCTGTTGAGCCAGCCAGTTGCCCGTTCCATTCTTCATGACGAACGTGTCGAGGAAAACGAGCTGGCTCTCTGGACCATAAAACCAGTTGTAGTTTGAGTCCGCAATACCGACTGTTCTCTGAAAGCCCGGCAACAGCGTGGCATAATAAAACCAAAAGTGGCTCCGCAGCCAGTTGTTCTGCATGTTGTCTATGTTGAAATGACGCTGAGCTAAGAAGACATACTGGGTAATAGACTTGGCTGTGTAGCTTCCGTAGGCTACTCCCTCATCCAGGGAGCCGTCAACAACGTGATTCAAAAGAAACATTGTTTTCTCCATATAGTTAACTGCCACTTGTTTCCAGATCATTGACTCTGGGTCGTCATGTGACCCCACCACTATTGCACCTGTCAGGATGGCTAATATGTTGGTGGTTTGATGATTTTGGAGATACTGTTTGCCCCATCCTCTGTACTTAGAGAGCTCATACAGCTCCACCGTCTCAGCGCGAATTTTCTTGAGGTATAAATCCTTTCTACGCTGATCCAGGTAAGAGTAAATAAAGTCATAAGCAGTAGCAAACCCAGTGAGAGAGTGCGCCATGGGCACCTCATCGTTCGGTGCACTGGTTACCTTCCAGTCTGAATATTCGGCCATCCTATCCATAAACTTGATAAGAAACTGCAGAGCAGCAGAATCCTCTGGGCACAACAGGCAGTAGAGAGCCAGGGGAGGCAGGTTGTTCCCATAAATCTCATTCCACTTGCTTGTAAACTCCTCATGCTTCACAGGGGGCAAGTAAAAGGGAACATTAGACAACATAGTGAGCACAGCAGCTCTGATGACTTTAAATATGTGACTGTGGGTGGTAGAGGACCTTTGCCTCAAGTGTAACACATCCACTTGGTTAAAATATAGGTTGGGATGGGAGTCAGCAGACTGGAGCTTCCAGTGCTCACTCGCTCTGTCTTGCGTGAGCTTGACCTGCAGCAAGTCATCTGTGAAAACGTCTCTGTCTGTGGTGTTGAAGACCCCCGAGAAAGCTGTGCCCACTGCGAACAATGGTAGTAAAAAAGCTGAATATACAACCCAGCTGCCAGCCATGTTTCCAGGTGTTTGCGAGCACATTTTACACTAAAGGATTTCAAAAGTAATTAGCTGACAGTTTTCTTCAGTAAAAGTGTTGCAATGTCCCGGAAAAAATAAGTTTTCAGAGTGAAAGTCCAGATTACGTTTAAATATTAGGGATGCACAAGTCCATGGCGTTTTTATTTTAAAAGACAATATGATGCAATATCAAATTCCTGGGCATGATAGTCAAGAAGAAGGATAAAAAAAAAAAAAAACTTCCGGCAAAAACAAACAACAACCAAAACCAAAGGCAAAAAAGGTTGCAAAAAGTTGCAAAAGCAACAAAAACAAACAAAAAAAAAAAAAAAAAAAACCCCGAAGGGAAAAAAAACCTTCCGCCAAGGTAATGAAATAAAAAAAAAAAAAAAAAATCCTTATGCCTGCACGGTGCCGTTCGTCTTCATAGTAATATGGGCACTCGCGACGACTGGCGTCTCCCCCTTTGCCAGTAACTCATATTGATCTCCTCCCCAAAACATTTCCTCTCGGACAAACATCAGTCAGCCCCAGTCTGTGTCCGGTCCAATCACAGCCACCCAAAGGCTCCGTGTGCAGCCCGACCGAGCCGCAACATCCACGGACATGAACCTCAGCAAACAACGCATCTCCGCTGCAAACATTGCTTGGTACCTCCGATGCAGAGACGCCAAATCCTTAATTTTGCAAATCCTGATCGGGTAATTGATCTGTTTGCATTGCTGAAAAGCAGTCCTCTCCTCTCCTCGCGCTTTATCTTCTGCTATTAGTGCGGGTGAAGTCCGAAAGGAGGAAAGTTGTCGTCACTCCTCAAGTATTCAAAGAATGAGACATTTTCCCCCGATTGTCCGCAGAAAACAGCGAATCAGCCCGCCGAATGGAAAAAAAAATCCACGTGGAAATCTGCCGTATCTGTGGGAATATTGGTGTTCCCGCTGGCGTTTGAGACGCACACAACTGAGCCTGTGTATTATGTGTGTATCCCCGGACGCGTCTCCGTTGTGTCCTCCCGACTGTTCAGCACAGTCAGTTTGATTGTTTTCCTGCACTGGATGGAAAAATTTCCACTGTACAAACTGTAGAGGGAGCCGTGACTTCAGAAGCCCGATCTCATCTCTCACAGAGTGTGGGGAGGCTTAATATTCACTCCATTGTTATTTATTTTCGTATTCCTGAGTGATGTTAAGTTTCTACCTAACATTAGGGCAGCAGCAGGTGATAAAACACGTTTTAGTATATCTTTAATGTGATCTGCACGACTCTTTTACTGTGTCATTTAATCTGGCATTTGCAAAAAATAATAAAGACAGTGATATGGAAAAGGAACAGTCGGCGTACAGTTTAATTCACAGCACCTCAGAGGAAAAGTTAGACAACTTGTAAAATATTTTCCGCCCCCATTTCTTTTGTAAAAGAGGATGAGAATTAACACAGATAATGAGCTCGCTTTCGTCCATTCAGTTTAAGGCTGTTGCAGCTATAATGTGTAGCCCAGAAATGGACGCAAGAGTCACAACTTCATCTCCATGGAGCAAAATCAGCTCTCTGCTATATTTGCTTTGTTTAATATGCAGGAAAAAACGTTTTATCAACAAAATTTTGGAAATTACAGGTTGTGTTGGTGAGGCTATTTCTTAGTATGCGCTAATATATAAATAGTGCACGTCAAAGTCACTGTTAAAGAGGTGACAGAGGTTGTGGTGCAGGAGGATGGACAAACAGGAGAAAGTTTAGAGAATGTTTTATGAATAGAACATTAACAAAAACACTTTGCTGATGCTTTCAGGGGTGACATTTATCCCACTCATAGTCAGTGTCGATCCTTTTGTTTATTGCTGATGATTGATTTGATGCCGGGTTCCCTCCTTTCCTCCGTTCCCATCCATTATTCCAAACAACCTTATAACACTGAACAATAGCGTCATATGTAATTTACAGACACTGCAGCAGTAACAGAGATCACACGTACGTTTCAGTAAAAGAGCATTTTCACCCCCAAATGTCAAACTATGCTTTTAACATACAAATCATCATTACAGTTGACATAAAGTCACCGTGACAAGTCTTGTTTCATTCTTTTCCATTTGACATGTATGCATGTATTTGTAAAAAATCAGTGCAAGTGTATGATAAGCAAATGAAAACATCATGGAAAAACATCTCAGTAAAGGTTACATTTGAAATTTGGCTAAAATCTCCTCAATCTTCATTGCATGTCTGCAAAAGACTCCCCTGAGGCAACAGAAAGGCCTTCAATAGCCTCCGAAACATCTCGCCTTCAAGAAATGTGTGACATTTGCCTGCCCTAACATAACCCACCACAGTCTCATTGATCAGCTCATTCATCCCTTATTAGATTTCCGTGCAGTATTTCCATTAAACGACAGATCACTTTCCTCATAGGCAGTTTGCACGTGTGCTCTGCAGCATTGTGTCCCACAGGGACCACCGTTGCATGATGGTTTTCCTCTTTTCTTTTTTTTCCCCCTCCCCACAGTTCGAAAGCTTCAGGCACAAAGTTGGCTTTATCGGCATCGCCACAGGAAATACACACTTCAATCTCTCTTAGGACAAAAATCTTCCACAGAGAAAAGCTGCGCTGCAAAAAAAACTGCCAAAACATAAAAACCAATGATCATTTTGAAGTCAGTCAGACTGCTTCATAACCACAAGCGCGACACTTTACGATTCAGAGATGAAATGCTGCTTATGAAAGGATTTTAACAAAGAAAAAAAAGTCAAAAGATTTAGTATTTAGCACCCTAACACAGAACCAGCTCACCCTTTTAGCTTTGCCATTTAAGCATTATACTCCACCACAGTTAATAGACTTCTAGCTTTGTTCATTGGAGGCTGTTTTTATTACAGCACAGAAAGTGTTAAAAGCATCTGTTGGCAAAAGCCGGGTGACTGGGGTTTATTTTCATAACACAGATTATTCATTCCATCAGAATGAAACCTGACTCTGGAGAGCAGAGAAGTAGCGTGCAATATCTCCACAGTTTCCCAAAATTTCACTGGTAGAAGATAAAGCCTTTTTGGCTACACTACCTTTTATATCCATGGCAACAGGCTGGAACCATTGCAGAATTCCCTAGTATTGTGGTAATACTAAAGGTCACCGGTGATGGCTCTAGAGATTTTTGTAGCTATGTATTCAGCACTGTGGCCAGAAATCTCCCCATGCTTATTAATATAGGCCTACAGATGGTTATTAATGTATGCCGTTTATTTTGTATTCATCAAGTTTATGTTGGGCTTATGGTTGTGGCTCACCTCTCTGCTGCAGAGGCGAGTCAGGCAGTGCCACGCTCTGTTTTGGAAAGGAAAAATAACACGACACAGTTGTTACTCTTAGGAGGATTGCATTTTGTCTTTATTGATAGACAAAATTGGCAGGGTTTTTTACTTTATGATCAGCACTAACTACGCTGCCTGTTATGGCGAGGCAATGATATCGTCATATAATAAACCCCAGACTGCCTATTATGTCTAACACAGCAGTCAGATCACCTGTACCATGATTTTCTCTCTGCTGCGAGGAGTGAGAAGAAATGGAAACCATAAACCTAGAATCGTAATCATTCCAGGTCTTTTTTTTTTTAGTCCGAGACATACCGTAGGTCCCATAGGCACACAAAAATTGTATTAAATCTCTGAAAGATAACGGTTTCTCTTTATTTCCATTGCAGTGGCAATCTATGCTTTTGTTTTTCGCTTTCTGGCAGTCAGACAGCACCCAGATGTAAGCTCAAATATTGGCTTCAGAATATTCCAGAACACCAATGCAATGCTTAGTAGTGTGTTTTTACAGTTGCCGTGTTAGCTTATAAATGCTGCAAAGACCACACAAACAAATGCAGAAATACTACAACCTGGAAAAAAGGACAGCAGCCAATAAAACAATTTCTTACAAAAACCCACATAATCTCTTGAAGGTACCACCTTTTCTTCTTCAGCATTTAAAAGGCGTTCATTTCCTTCACTGAAATCAGTCCCTCTATCTGGAATCCTTCTTCGACAAAGTATAGCTGGGTTTTAGCCGACTACAAGTGCTAACCACATCTTGCTACACTTTTGTGATGTCAAGGCCGATCTGTCTTCTTCCAGTTTTCCTCTGCAATTGCAAAATTGCTGCCTTACCTAAGTGGCGACAGAAGAACTCTGAGAGACATGATGCTTCCCTCCTCCCTCCCTCTTTTCTAATTTTCTGTATCTGCTAAAAAAGTCTTAGACTAGGTTTAGTGGTTTTTATCAATTGTACATTAAAAAGGTCCAAGTTGAATTGTAGGTCAGCCTAAGGGCATCACTACATTTCTGCTGCACTCCATCATCTGCTCACATAGAAATATCCAACAAAAGAAGCCTCTTATCAATATGTTTGACTCGTTGCTCTATCTCGCTGAGTATTGTGAGTAATCAGGGCAGTCCTTTGACACCAATTTCATGGTCGTCAGCGGTATGCACGGTCACAGAAAGTTGAGCACTTGTTGGTGATTTTTTTTTTTCTCTCAAGTCCCCCTTAGTCCTTGCACCAGCTCTGATCTATGATGGCTAACTGAAATGAAGCTGCTCATTAAAAACTTTATATGGGTGTTTTTTTTTCTTTTACTTAATAATAACAAAAATGGGACCAAACAGACACTTTTTTGTAGTGTGCAGTGGACCCTTCTGGTGTATGCCTACCCAAACTTTCACTTCCCCATTAATTGTCCATCTGTTTACCCTCCCATGTTTCTCAGCAGAGTACTTTTGACTAATCTGAGCTTCATTCGGTTGCCTCCATATGCATTATGTCCTGTCTTCACTGGAAAATCACTCTTCCAAATGGGCTCTGTGCCAGGGGAATGGGTTTTTTTTTTCTGTTTCGTACAACCACCATTCTTTGAAGATATACTCCAAAACAAACTGGAATAACTTCTAATCACCACAAGGCCGCCTGTGGATTCTTCTCCGCCTGACTTGTATTGGGGAGAACGAATGCAGCTGGGCATCCTAATTAGAGGACGCCTCAGTGAGATGAAATGATTGAATGATGTCAACCACAGTAAACTAACACTCTAATCACTCTCATCCACAGCTGCTTGGGACTGAGGTTGAGCAAGAGGTCCTCAAGTTGTTGCTCAGCATGAGTTTCCTTACAGCGTCAGATCAGAAGGGATGAATAGTAGATAGCCAAGTTTGCGTCAAACGTGGCTCCTGAATGCACTGTTGATTGACAAGTGGCA